TCCTGCTGCATGCCCTGGTTGTCCAGAAGAGATGGCAGTAACTTGGGACATAAGTAGTTGTTGGCCTCTGACAAATTTTGGTGGTGATTGTAAAGCTGTTCTATTTAATACCTTGTTTTCTGAGAGATTGCTTTTGAAGATGCACAGACCTCTGCCTATACTGTCGGTAAACTTCCATTTTTCACACCCATCTGTTAATAAAACTGGAAATAACATTTGAGTGAAAGTGTTGTAGTTTTTATGACAAAACATTGGTTTCAACTCATGAATGGATCTGCCACCTCACCAATTCTTGATGCTATTTCCTTCTGGGTACCTCCACTGTCTTTGAGTTACTGCCAAGGTATGTGAACCAACTTCAGTTTTGTTCCATTACTTTCCAGGATAGGGCTTGAGTTGGGAGTTACTCGTCTTGTCTGTGGATGTCTTACACAGGTAGTTATTAACCTCATCTTTTTTGCAGTCGTGGACACTGTGTTATAGTTGCACACCGTTGAGCTGCCACTTTGACTCCACAAATTGAAACTTCCTAAAATGCTCCAGAGTCAGATGTCATGTCTGTTGCATCTCTGTTGCTTCTGATAGCAATGCCAAATTAAAATTTGGAGAAATGCATTCTAGTTTGACACCAGCATCTAAAATAAATACAGACTTGAGCCAATATCTTTCTTTACCTGTGTGATTGTGCTTTAGTGTAAAGGCTTGACGAGAGTTACTTTTCTTGGTGCATTATAGTTCCTCGAGATGCTCTGGAGTGACCTGTATTGGAGATTATCAAGTCATCTCTTAAAATCTGTGCCATCTGAGTGGTTTTTGCCATTAGTTCTATCTTTGGTGAATATTTGTAGGCAAATGTTAGATCAGCTTATTGTCTACACAGTTGAAATCCAACCTACTTTTCCATTGCATTTGCCTAAACCAACTGTTTTCTTTTGTTCTCAAGGCCTTTCTGTGTTCATCCTTAACAAGCCTTGTGGCTGGTGTGGATGTGCCAGTTAGATTTCTGCTGAGTTTGTATTTTGCTATCACCTCTTTTAATAGTTGCTTCAGCTTCTTTGGCCATATAACCCATATGGATTTTTCTCTAGTTTCTTGTTGCTCTGCTTTTTAATGCCCTCCTTTATTTATACATATAAAGTTTACGATGCTGCTTTTTCTGAAGGTGTTTTTGAGCAGTTGATGATTGCTTTGGCTTGTTTCCTGTCTTTCATGCAATTTCTCATATCATCACTTACGCAGATTTTAAGTCTTGCCTGGAAAACAGCTATAGTTATTCTAACATCAGTGATAACTGTCATGAAAAAAGAAAAGATCCTGCCAAATTCAGCCTTCACAGGTGTGGCTCAAAATGGTTTTTAAAAAGACCAAACATACACTTTTTCAAGGCAGAACTTAGCTTTGGAGGATAATATCCGCTGGACTTCCTAAGGCCATCCACTGGAATGTGGTACCGGCATCGGGAGACCGAGTGCTTTGCAGGGTTGGACTGTAGTGAGTGGAAGTGCCCTTCCTTCTGTAACGTGGGCCTCCCTTGGGAGGGCTGCTTGGCTGATGCTGCCTGTTGAACTTTCCTTTCAAGCTAACTGCATATGAGCCTTTCCTTTTATGTTGCATCCCTTCAGCTGGAAACAACTACTGCAGCAAAACAGAGAGAGATGGATGGGAGATGTGATCCCACGGGGGAATTTCTTGCTGACCCACCAAAACCAGTTCTTTACTTACTTTCCCTGAGAGCTTTGCTTTGTAGAGTTTATTTCACAGACTCATTGCGTGGCCTTATGCACAGGAGGGAGCAGGAGAAATAATTTGTGGCCAGTGCAATGCTTAAATGAACACTTGCAGTGGACTTTCTTCTTTTTTTATTCTTAGCATAGGGAAGTCTGAAGGTTTCAAACTGGACAAAGATGCCATCAAGAGTATCATATTTAATAAATCATGAAACAGCCTATCATGTTCTCATGTGCACTTTATGTATGTGTGTATATGCATACATGTATGTGTGTGTATGTGTGTATATATATAAAAAGATCTATATAGATATAAGAATTAAAATCCAAACTAAACAAAAAACCCACCAGATTTCTGGGGCTGAAAAATATCCATAGCTAAATTTACTCATTCTGGGGCAAAAAAACAGAGCCATGTTGAGAAGGTGCTCAAATCTTTGTGCCTATACACAAGCTCTGCAGATTGCTGCCTCTCAGTTGCAAGATGACTTTTGTCCTTTCTGACGGAAGAGTAGAATTATGCAATATCTCTGTTGTTGACTCATTTGTTCTGCTGCTGATGGTCAGAATGAACCATGAAGAATAAAAGTAAAGATGTGTCATTCAAATAAAAGCACTCTGGGTCACGCTGCGAGTGCAGGCTGTTTTGATATGTTTTCTGCCCTGGCCTGTGTCCCATCCATCGTTGTGGCTCTGTTCCTCTTCAGAGCACAGTCACCCCCTCCATCTCTCGTTACATGCTGGGGCAAAGAATTTGGGATTGGCCCTTGCTGTCAGAAGCTCTGAAGCATGAAACTTTGTGTACACTGATTACAGTCCAGATTTGAGTGGACTGAATTTCCCTGAAGTCGTTGTATGCTGGACTTCCTATGCCTCTGTGGGGCTTAAGGCAAACTGGTAGAAATTGTTATGCATGGGGCTGTGGACTGAGACTCAGATGTTGGATCTGTCTTCACTAAGTGCTGCAGACATGAGAGCTGTGCTGCCTGCCCTTCTCTTCCTAAGACCCCAGAGTGATGGGATAAGCAAGCGGGAAGTCCACAGAAGTAAAGAGACCGTCACATTCAACCTAATTCTCAGCCCATGTACTTTCTGAAAGTTCTTGTGATCATAAAAGTGCGTCAGTCTTACTTTGCTCAAGGGTATTTAAATAAAAGTTCATAACCGGTATCACTCTGCCAGAAGCTGTCCTGGTCAAACGAGTTTGCTCTGCTTTTCTGAACTCTTCTTGCAAAGAAGTTGAGTTAAAGATTATCTTCAGAAACGTTTCTGATCTAGGAAATGGTGAGCCATTTTCCTCTCCAGCATGCTGTTCTACACAAAGTTGTCCTATTCCAAAGTTAGATCATCTTAATGTTAAGTTTTGGTCACTGGAGGTAGGTCTTTTTTAGCAAAGTTGGAAATCTCTTTCCTCTTGCATTTTCAGCTGTATTTCCAAGGTGTAAATATCTCTACATGCTGAACAAACTTTCTCTCTTTTTTTTTCTGTACAAAGAGAGTAAGAATGAGCACCTTGAAGAAAGTCTCTCGGCTTCCTTACTAGTGTCCTTCAAACCCTCTCTGGGGTTTCTATACCCTGTTTAAATGCAGGCAAAGAAATAGGCAGTAGCATCCTGGCACTAGTCTGAACAATATTGTGTACACAGAAAAGATTAATTCTCTGTAGTGCTTGCTATTGACATGCAAGTTCTCTGTGTTTTGCCCTGAGACCTCAACTTATTCTGTGTCACTGCTATCCAGAGAAGTCATCCGCCAGTCAACGTGACCTTTGCCAGTTCTGTAATTCTTCTTCTTAATGCTTATTCACATTGACTACTGCAGCAGAGGTAATGTAAGTTTTATCTTATCACTTAGTACTGAACTGGAATACATTATTTCTGTGACTTGTCACTGCAGTAGAAGGATTTTCCTTATACTCCATTTCAATATGCAATAAAAAATAGAAACTTCTCTGTATCCTCTTAACCCAGGAAGAGTGCAAAATGTTCTGTACAGAATACTTTACAATGATGTATCCCCACACAGACTTGTGTGTCACATGAGTTTCATACAAATGTGAGCTGTCTCTTGTTAAATATTGGAATCAGATTACTCTGGTAAAGAAACATCAGCAATTGAACAGTAGCAGCTACTTGTACTCTTGAGAGTGACAGCTGTGCTCATAAAAGTGCCTCAGCCTTTCTTAGCGAAAGGATATTGAAATAAAAGTTTGTAAAACTGTGTCGCTGTGCCAAAAGCTATCCTTGTCAAACTAGTTTGCTCAGCTTTTTTCAACTCTTCTCACAAGAGATCTTACTTTACCAGATACACAGAATATCCTGCTTCCCACAGGGTGGCTCACGGAAGTCATCAAGTTGGTGGACTGGCTGCCCTGGCAGCGATCAGATAGTTGTGTTTATTCAGGATTTCCACTTACACCTACACTTCTGCAAATCAGAGTTTGAATATCTGAATGTCTGAGGCTTGCTCACTGCCTTGATGTAATGAATTCTGAATAGAAATAGCTCATTTACAGGCAGAGTAAACT